TTTATTTAAGTTGAGGATACATATTTTCCTGCAGCCGATGAGGCTTTTGCAGATTGCTAGGGCGGTATCTTAAATAAACGAACTTATACTAACTTAAAACTAATTACATTTTCGCTTTGGGAATTGCTAAGTTTTGTTAACTCTTTTTAATGTTTAATTTACGTCAACGTAAGCGACGGCGGTGGACTCACACGGCGACGGTAACAAAGAGCGTCTACGATTGCGACGGTCAGAGACAGGGACGTTGAGAATGACAGTGGCATTGATGGTGACGTCGACAGCGACGTCGGCGGTGACGACGTCGACGAAATAATTATTTTAAAGTCTGTTCTCACACAACATTAATTTTTCTGTGCGCATTCGTTCAGAAGAATGAAAAAAACATGAATAGTTCAGAGAATGATACTCTTGAAGTAGACAATGCAAATGATCATGGGTTCCATACGCGGTTGGTATAAATCCCCTGAGGGTCGATTGGTAGAATGAACAAAACGTATGATAAAAAAAATACAAATTTGCTCCTCTCTTTTGTATCCTTTGTTCGACCTTGAGAACTAAGATGTTTAGAAAACTGAAGAAATTATAGCTATGCATTCACGATGATACTCTACTGCGCAAGAAAGTACTACATACTCCGCAATACGCACTGGAGAAATATAATGGCCAGTTCTTCAAAACACTCTACATATTGTAATCATTGAATTTCAAAGAAGAGAAACTCAGCTTCTTAAAAGCCGAAGCGTCTTCGATTATTGAAAAATGTAGATATTATATTAATGTAAGAAATTGTTATCTTTAAGGCAAGCAGTTCTTTTTGTCATGATTATGGATGCTTTATATTATAGGGTCAGTCAGGGTTAATACGATACACCAAACAATTGAGGCTAATATGATACACTTTAAGAATCGTTACTTATCTATTTCCAAAATTAACAAGAAATAGCGATCAGTAGGGAATATATTCTATTACTAATTATCATATAAGGAAATCCAAATATTAGTTGTAGCAATGAAATTATTAATTTTCGAGAGAGGAAACGTTTCATGTCACTTTGTCATTTTCGATGACAGGATATCTTTGAAAACACACAAAAACATTTACCATGACAATATTTAATTTTTTTAAATTCATCTCATAACAATTTTATAAAAAAATGCTAAAAGGAATGTCCAAGGCTAGCGTGTTGCAAACTGTCAACCCAATGTGACGAAATTACTTCCAGACCCTTGCAACATTCAATGTTCTTTTTACATACGTTAATTTTCATGTTATCACACTTTGGTGTATGAACAAAATTTTTTGATATTTTACTACATTAAAACCAAATTAAATATTGTTTTTAGGAAAAAACAAAGAATGGCATGTTGTGTTCAATTCTTAATAATAAACTACTATTTGCACTGCAACGGCACGTATCTTCTTGCATTATTTCTAATGGCAATATTATCACATGAAAAAAAAGAGTAAGTGTTTCCAACCAGAAAAAGCCTTTTTCCCCGTGTCGAGCTTCGAACTGACGCCCTTAGCGTTACCAAAGGCGTTAGAGGCACGTAACCCCTACTCCACCAGCAGCATGGTTAAAACGGTTCCGACGCTTAAAAAAAGGTGATTTGCATTTGCAATATCCAAAAATTGAAAGATTTTCATTTGCGTTATTTGAAGATCTAGTGTTAAAGAATTGATTTCATTAAGAAAAAAACATCCATATCGTAGTCTCACAATGTTATTTATTTACTTTGCAATT